GGCTACGGGGATTAAGAAATTTGCTTTATTTTAACATTATTTTCCTTTATATATTAATTATATAAAGTATAAACTTGTTTATAATTCTATGTAAGCAATTATGTAAGAGAAATTAACGTTAACAAGTTGTAAACAACTAGGATGATTTATGGTCGATTTTTACGTTGTAAAACTATAAAAATGTCGTTTATAGATAAAATTTTATATATTTTTCATGTTTTTAATATAATAATAAAGATTTTCAGCTGGAAAAATGCATAAAAACGTGCAAGAAGCTAGGTGAATTTGCATAATGACAATGGAACAACTCATACACAACCAGATGATTCTAGGGTGGATTTTTATATTTTAAAACGATCAAATATTATATTTACAGATACAAAACGACTCCATTTATGATTTTTAGATAGCAATTTAAAGATTTAACTTACAAAAATGCATGAAATAAGAGCATGAATATAAGAAAGTTCACATGGTGACAATGGTAACAAGTCATAAACAATCAGATGATTCTGAAGTAGATATTTATATTTTAACACTTGAAACATACTATTTAAAGATAGAAAAACGACTTAATTTACACAAATATTAAGTATTTAAAATAGAAAATTAAAGAATTAAACTAGAAAATGAGCATCAAGTTGGAAAAGTTTTTGTAGTGGCAATGGTAACAGGTCATAAACAACCAGATGATTCTGGAACAGGATATATTTTCAACACAACAAAAATGCTATTTATAGCTAGTAAACTGTCAATTTTACTTTATTTAAAAGCATTTAAGTTAGAAAATTAAAGACTTAACCTTTAAAAAAGGGAGGAAAATTGGACTCTAAGAAGCACCAACAAAGGAACTAATCTACGAGGAAAATCATGAAATAAAGCAAATTTTTATCACGTGACGGGGTAAGAACAATAATGGATTAAGCTTAAGGCTATACAGCAAGAGTAAAAAAAAAAAAAAAAGGTGCTCAGGTTTTTCTTTGTGTGTGTACCCGTACACAAAGGTATCATCGATCGTGTTACTTGTCACTATTTCACTCAAGCCATCATCGATTGACAATATCGGCAAGACATAACATCAAAAAAATTACTTACCTTAGGCTACGGGGTCAAAACATTTCTATATTTGATGTTTTGTTGGAAAGCAACCGACCGAACTCGACCCCCCTATTGGAAATTTTATTTATCTAAACTCTTACCCCTTATCAAATTTCTCACTCTTCTCTCTCTCACACACACACATACAGACACACGCACGGACGAACACACACAAAAAAATAGGTAAAGAATAAAAAAAATAAGTGTCAAAAACACCAGAGAATCGATTTAATTTTAGTAAAATCAAAGAAATTCTATCAAATAATTATAATTTTAGAGCTTACAAACCGTTAAATGTAGTGATACAAAGATGGCCATGCCGGGTCGAAGTGGACGCCATCTTGGATTTTTCTTGTTTCTTTGTTCTTTTAACACCCCGACGGCGGTACTTTAAACACTCGACAATTATAAAACGTATGGATTAATTTAAGTTAAACAATACTACGTTACGTAATTGATGACGTTCTTATTTTAGGTGTTCTTTGATGATAGGTGCGGTTGTAGAAAACCCTTGTGTAACCACGTGTTTTGTTACCGCGTTTGCTAAACCTCTTCTCACTTGACAGCGGTTTCTGTCGTAAGGATGAATGACCAAAACACTAAAGCAAAAATAAAGTCGTTTCTCGTGCATCCTTCGCAGTAAACACGTATTAATACACTACATTTTATACAAAACTACGCTTCGCACCCCCTCATTATCGCCTCTGTCACTCGAATTATAGCAATAAAATCACTTACTTTAATTACTTTAAACTTTATTTATTTTTAAATTTGTAAAAAAATGTATTAAATTCCTCTTCTAAAAAATTCCTATTTGGGGATCAAACACCCTCAAAACACCCCCTTAAAAGTGGTTTTAAGCCGAGATTTTTTGCGTTTTGAGTTAATTTGTATGCGGATTTGGGGGGTGGCCTGATTTTCTAACAGGCCTCAATTTAAGGCCTGTTTAGTAGGCCTAATAATCAATTTTCAGGTCGTGGTTTTTTTTGGTTATAACAAAACACGTTTAATCTATCAAAGTATAAGCATGTAAATTGCCTATTAAAATGCCTGTAAAGGCATAAATTTTGAATTAATTTAAAGACTGTAAAGGCTTAAAATAAAGTTTAATTTTAGTATTTTTTGAGCCTTTTTTTCAATAAAGGCAATTTAAAAATTATCATGAAATATTGCCTGTTTAAAATGATCCACAAGCATTATCTAGGCTCCATAAAATGTTATCTACGTAGGGCCTAAACTTATATAATTATAAAAAGTGGTTTAAAAACTTAAGGCATCGATCAGGAATTCTGTGAAATTCCCTTAAATTAATCTCAATTACAATGCACATCTTGAATGCGGGCATTAATTTAGAGGCCTTACCTTATACGAATTATCTATTATGCCTTGTTTAATATATCAAGAAGGCATTCGAACAGTAGGCCTTACGCTAATTCGGGCCCTTTTAACTCGCAATTCAAATATACAGGCAGAAAGAGCTCATTAGAAATTCACGAGCCTCCCTCCCCCTTTTAAATTATGAATAAATTAGCATATGTAATTAGTTAAAAACTGAATTAAATAATTGAAAACTAAATTTCGAGTGAATTTTTATTATTTATATTTTTATTTATATTTATTTTTTTTTATTTTTTTCCAGAATAAATCATTGCATTTTCGGGGCATCCACGACAAAATGGCATTTTTCATGGGAATAAACTTACTTCAATAGGGATTTAGGGATATATTTAGTTGACGTTTATTAATTAGTCGAGTGCTCGAAGAAAGTAGGCAGCTGTCAGTGTCCTTCTCTTCACGTTGTACATATTGTGAACACGAAAAACATTTCGACAAAACACTTTTATGACAGTAACTTACCCCAAAATAGTAACCACACCTCTGGACATCCCTAATTTTGTGTATAGTGTGGGTGACAAACGGTCCTCTCTTCTTCCTTCTCCAAATTCGTAGTAAACGTTTCAAAACAACACCCTCCTCGCCGGTTGTTTTTGCTAAACAAGGCACTCCTTTAACTACTATCGCACCGTGTGTGCTGCTATAGTAACAGGGTGTATCGATTTGCACGCGCTTTTTTTTTTTATTAATTACGTAATAATAAAGTTATTTATTGATCCCTATTACTGAGTGGCAAGTGTGGGTCTACTTCACCCAATTTTTAAAGGGGGTGGAGTTACAAAAGTTCAAAACAGCACCCTCCTTACTAGTTGTTTTTGTTAGAGAAGCCCCAAGTTTAATTACTACTGTAATGTTTATACTATTATAATAACAAAATGTCAATTTGTATGCCTTATTATAGGGTAATTTAATTTCTAATTTCGTAAAATGTATACGTGACACGGTCTCTTCCTTTCTTAAATTCGTTCATTTTACACTTATAATACTACTGTAGTAACAAAATGTATCGATTTATACACGTGTTGTTGCTTTAATTATCGATCGAACCCTTAAATACTTCCGAAAATTTTTGTCAGTCACGTGGGTGAAACAAACGGCCCACTTCCCTCTTCTCCAAATTCTTGGAGGGGTGCAGACCTTCTAAAGTCGAAAACAACACCCCTCATTCCAGTTGTTTTCTTAAAGAAAAACTCTATCTTTAACTCACACTACTACTACTACATTAACAATAATGTATCGATTAATAAGCCGTGTTCTTGCTTTAATTATTGATTAATAAAGATAAATAAAGACAATTGTTAATTTTTATTGATTTCATTTTATTTTTAAACCTTAAAAATATACATTTATTATTGATATTATTATTATTATCATCATTTTTTATTGTTCTTTTTCTAGGTTGGGTGCGTGTTATATCACTTTAAAACATGATTGATAACAATGCAAAATAAGTAAGGATGTTGTAAGGAGAGAAGTGAAGAATTCGAGCATTTTATTCACAATTGATCACGTCGGAAATCTTGACTATCAGTCGGAAGTAACCGTGAAAAGTAGGGATGAAAAAAGTGACGTCATTCATTATATCCCACTTAATCCGTCTTCCTATGTAGGGCACGTTATATTTTTTTTTGTCATCAAAATAGTACAACAACTCAAATCTTCTGACATTTCTCTCGTTCCAACCCGTAAAACTTTAGAGGGGTAGAGGGGTGTCGACTAGCAGGGGGGCCTACAAAATAAGAATAAGAAGAAGAAGAAGAAAATTCTTGTTCGCTTGTCTTCTGGGCAGCCATTACTGTCTCGGAATCGAGAATATTTTTTGGTGGTCCCTTCTCGTACCGAAGAAGACAGCTCTATCCATCATCCATCATCTCTTTACCAATTTAATACCCGTTGGTCGATTCAATCTGAGGATGATCTAGGCTTAAAAAAATAAATAAAATAAAATAAAAATAAAAAATTGTTGTGTGCTCGCTTATTGTAATATATCAAAAACAGTGACAGATATAAAATGAGATAAGGCTACAGGCTAAATAATAAAATATACTCTACGTTGGAATCAATCAGAGTAACAATAATGCCTGTTACTGTAGATTCGATGGGATTTTTTTTTTGGTTTAAATTTAAGGCTATTTTCAATGTGGTGTAGAGATAAAGGCTATCTTTACCATAGTGTATAGTAAAATAAGGCTATAATCATTATAGTGTGGAGAAAAATAAGTTAAATTAATCACAACATACTGAAAATAAGACTATATTCACCCATTGTATAGAGAAAGACTCCCTATTTTAAACTTTCAAAAATCTGTACTATTATAGAAACAATATTAATGCGTTTGGTATTATAAAATTATTGATTTATAAGTCTCACGATTGATATTTAAGGCTAATCTTCTGATAGAAAAGTAGAAAAAGGCTCTAAGAATAGTTAGTAAACTACTACTACTACTACAGTAACGTAGCCATTGCTTATTGTGTTTTGTTTGCTACTCTTCCATAAAAGTGAGGAAAGGTAAGTCTGCTACTGTAGCAATACAGTAGCAGATTTCATATACTTAACAGCTCATTAAGTTTGAATGAAAAATTAAAAACTTGAGTTAAGGTACTGTACCATTACATAAGAAGAGTAGTGTTTATAAATCTGTGCTACTGTAGTAACAAAGAGCATCTTCCCTAGAAGCCAAGCTATCTATAGCATTAGACTAACGTCATAACTTTAAAAAAAATCTCAGTTTAAATCCGATCTGTCACCCTAAAAACTAAGTAAGGATAATTGAAGTAAAAACTAGATTTTGTTCCCTTACTAGTAAGATTATAAGGATGCCTTGAGGAAGGAGAAAAAACTCGTTAATGAACTATTTTAGTAATTAATAGAGTAGCTAGAACGAGTTATCAATTTTTAAATATTCTTCCAGCCTTCGAGCTTGTTTATTTAGTAAAGGATGAAAAAAAAAAACCATAGCCTTAATTGCCTCATAGAATTAATTAAATTTTACCCTCCCCCCTCTTAAGTCGGGAGGAAAATAAAATTAAAAACAAATGTTTAAAATTGTGCAAAAGTTTTCTTTCTTTAGAAGGAAAAAAAAATGAAGGGAAATGAAGAGTAAAAGTTTGGATTCCGGATATTCAAAAGTGACAGTAACAATAATATTTCAAAGGAAGAAGAAGAAGAAGAAGAGGAGGAGGAAGAAGAGGAAGAAAAAAAAAAGTATTTAAAAAAGTTCTCATGAAAGTGATGCAATTTCGATACGGAAAGAAGATTCCTAGCCAAAGACAGCATTGCGAAGATTGAATAAAGAACCCAAGGGTATTTCTGTGAAATGTACAGACACAAGCACACAACTGGCGACTGGTTGTTTCCCTGCACACTCGTCACCTAACTGTCAGTGTATTTTTCTTTTCTGGGGTTCCAGAAGCACATCTACGTTGTACGGTTTGACCCACCTCGAAACACTTCTAACTAATTATATACCTACAAAAAAAAAGAAAAAAGCTTAGAAATTTACTAAAATTCGAAAAAAGTTTAGATTTATTAACTATTTTTATACAGTTTTATTAAATTAATCAGTTTCAATACACGTGGTTTCAGTTTCTTGTATATTTCCGTTAAATCTTTCTATTTCAGAACACGTGTTTACATTACTTTTATGCATAATTAATCGGTTTCATGCTTACTATACATAAAAACGTGTAACTAATTATTTTACGATTATAAAAACCTTTAAAAAAAGTTACCAAATTTTATATAAAATTTTAAATTTTAATTAACTTTTTACGGGGTTTTATTAAATTAATATGTTTCATACTGCGTGGTTAATGTAATTTTTTAAAAAAAAATAATTAAATAAAATATTATTTATTTATTTATTTTTACAAATAAAGACGTTAAACCTCTCTATTTTTACAGATTTAAAGGTTATTTTTATTAATTGTCGATTATTCTATTATTTCGTTTTATTTTCCTTTATTTCACAATTGCCTTGTTTGTTCGTTCTGTGACATTTTAATTAAAGTTGTTTATTTCGTGTCACGTGTTTTAATTTAATCCATTTCGTTTCCTATTGTCTTTTTATTTTTTATTTTCTTTATTTTTTATTTTTTTGTCGTT